CCCCAATCTAAATAAATAAATAAATAAATAAATAAATAAATAAATAAATAAATATTTAAAAAAGTTTAACACATAATGGGTTTATGATTATAATTTCCCACGAATAAACATTTTAATTTTATTCTCAGCTTAAATTTTAATACAGTAAATAGGAATTTAATACATAATAATAACACCGAAATTCTTTGGAGTTGTCAACAATTTTAAGAGGATAAATGTGTCATAAGATCAGTTTGAAAGCTGCTGAGGGAGTCCTGGAGTGAGGTCCTTAAAAGGAAGAAGAGAACAAAGTCTGCTTTGTATAGCAGGCACTCAACAGTTGAATAAAGACACACAAAACCAGTATGACTAACAGTAAAAGGCAGGAAGTGAAAAGTGTTAAATGAGTGGTCTAGATCTGCGCTGTCCAATAGGGTAGCCGCTAGCCACATGAGGCTATCCAAATGGAGACTAGCACCTGAAGTGTGCCTTGTCCAAATGGAGATTTCCTGAAAATGTCAATTGCACACCAGACTTTGGAGATTTAGTATGAAATAAGGAATGCAAAGTATCTCATTAATATTTTTATATTGAAAAATGTTAATATTCTGTATTATTGGATTATTTACATGATTGAAATTAATTTTGCCTGTTCCTTTTACCTTTTTCAATGTGGCTACTAGAAAATTTAAACACGTGGCTTGCATTTCATTTTTTTCTTGGAAAGTGCTAGTTTGTATGAGAAGTGTGATGAGAATTCAGAGCAAGGGAAAATTGCTGTGAGATGGGGTCAACAGTGAAATCTTTACCAGGGACAGAACCTTAAAAAAAAAAAAAAAAAAAAGGACAAACCAAAAAAATGCGTGGGCCTTCTATAGATATCCAGTTGATGGTTCCCAGAGGGGAGGTGGGTGGGGGGGATGGTTGGTGGGTGGTGAAAGAGAGTTGGGGCTTTTGCACTGTGATGAGCACTAGTAATATGGACTCACCAAACTGTGTATGTATGGAACACCTGAGCTGTATGCCTGTGGCCTGTGTTGAGTACACTGATTAAGATAAATGTTTAAAAATTTACACAAATTGGGGGAGGAAGCTGCCATTGAAGGGAGAATCAACACTGAATCAACACAGAAATAGGAGAGGTTAATCTAGGGAGCAGAACAGACTAGTCTGCCTCAGATCTCAGGCTTCTGGGTAGGGAGCAGGGGGAGGAGGAGGGGGAGGGGAGTTTCCGGATAGGTTGGGACCAAACTGTACAGCACTTCGAGTACCAAGAATTTGGACTTTTTCCTAAAGGCAGTGACTGCTTCCCCAGAGCAAACCAGACTTTGCTCCTTAGCTTATTGGAATACCCTCAATTAGGCACTTTGTTCGGGTGTAGACAGAGTAGTAGAAGCTCCCAGAAACTGCCCAGGAAGCAAGCAGCCAAGACCAGGCCTACCTGATCAGAGTAGAGTGATGTAGAGAGTATGACTTTGGAGTTGACTGACTTTTTGTGTATGAGGGAGGGAGAGGGGCAGTGAATTTAAAGCACCTGATAATGTCACCTGGGAGAGGAGCATCCGGGGCAGTGCACATGTGTGATGGCTGGTCCAAGAGTGAGGAAGTAGGCCTTTTACTTTGGTGTATTGCTGTAGGCTCAGGCGTAAGCAAACCGAGTCATTCTTTCTGCCTTGTTCGGTCTATCTTCCTTTATTTCTGTCTTTATTTGCCTGAACGTTCATAGAACTCGTGTGTGCTGAGGGTTAACATCTAGCCTGGAGAAGATGAAATAAAAAGACCACCAAGGAGGGAATGGAACCCCTGGCCTCTTATCCAGGCTCAGAAGCTAACTCATTGAATAGCTCCTGTCACCTCTCTGGGCCTCAGTCTCTCCAGATATGAAAGAGGTGTTAGAATCAGATGAGACCAAAGCTCCCTCCAGCTCTGTGATTCTAGAATAGGCCCATGTCACAAAGGGAGAAAAGCATACCACGGTGACCAGGAACAGGGCTACCTGGCAAGTGGGAAGGAGAATCCTGGACTAGTGAGGGTGGGCGTGAGTGGCCCACACAGGAGCTGGCCCAAACCTTTGCGTGAGGTTGTCTTCTTCCTAGTGAGCAGACCCTGCTGGAATTGGAGCACAGTGAAGTCTAGGAGTTTGATATTTCAGTCCTGGCACCCCTTCCATCCCAGGGGCTGGCTCACCAGGGTGAGTGTGCAGCCTCAAAGGAGGAAGCCAGGAAGCCAGGAATTTAGCTCCAGACAAGTCTGCAGGGGGTCTCAGATGTATGGAGCCCCCCTGAGGAAAATGAATGCGTGTAACTCCACCTACTCACTCACCTCGCGACACCCTGAGACCACCTGCAGTCGCAGGAATGATGGCGGCCGGGGGGGGGGGGGGATAAAGAGAGGGCGCCCTACAGAGGGGCTCCAGCCTGATTGTTTCTGTTCTTTAGCATTTCTAGAATAGAGAGTGGGTGGGAACCGACTCAAGTAAAGTCCCAGAGACTCTACCACTGACGCACAGGAAAGCCTCAAGTGGGAGGAGAAATGCAAATCCCCTACTGACAATGGCGTCAGCGGCTTTGTCCCGGGGACTGTGAGGGGCGATTCTGACTTTGGACTTTGGCACCGCCTGGGACCTGGGCTGAGAGAGCCAGGTAAGTAGGCAGATCACACCTTGGAGTTGCTTCTCCGGAGGAGCGCGGGTCAGGAAATGCTTATGCAGAATGCCGCCGAGGCTGTGCACTTGGTGGTGTGACAGTTCACTTCACTTTAACTGGTGTGAGGATGGGTTCTTCTGAACAGCGTCCGACTCCACGAGGCAAAGATGCGCTCCCGCGCAGGTCTGTGCGTGAGACCCGGGAGCTCAGCCCGCACATCTGCACGGCGGGAGGGACCGTGGTGGCTGATGCGGAGGTGTGTCCTCGCGGAGTGCTGAAAGTGAGCCCCCCTTCTCTTTCTTAACCAGCTTCTCTGAGCTATAATGTCTGACATTAGACTGAGTACACGGGTTTCAGAGAAAAGTCTGGAGCTAGGCTGGCCAGTGGCTGTGGCTTTGATGAGAGGGAGTATTTTCGGACATGTCATCTCCTTTGCAAGCTATGTGTCACGGAGCCAGCGTGGCACTATTAGCCCCCAGACAGCGCGACAAAATGCCCCTTTATCTAGGGCCAGACATTGAAGAAAATCGAGAGGCGTTCAGTTTTCAAAAGAAATGTTCTATAATTTTCTTGTGATGGGAGACTCAGCCCTTAGAGAGTGAAAGCAAAGGAGGGGAGGATGAGTAAAGTCATTTCTAGAGGCTGCAACAGAGAAGAGGGTCCTCGGACCACACACCTTATCCTTCCCTTCTTCGCCCTTCAGGTTCAGCTGAACCCTTAAGTTCAGCTCTCAGGAAGGTGGACCCCGGTCCTATGAGTAATTTTTCTGACTTTGGGGTCAGTTCAGTCCAGTTAATTCTTAGTTAGAAAACAGATTGTAATGGCATTTTCAGCTCATGTGCTCTCACCATTAACTAGAATAAAACAGGGATGAGGCAGGACAATGGCACTGTGGCATGGGAACAAACATCCCAGTTTTGTGTGGTGTGTGTATATATGCCCAGCATCTGCAAAGACAACCTCAGATCCGTCCTTAGGAGCTGTGCATCTTAGGCAGGGGTCATTTTGCCTACTTGTTCCTCAGATGTTTGTCATTTTTAAAGTTGGGGTCAAACTTACTATCCACCTGCCCTATTCATGACAAAATCAGGATTGCCACTCACTCTGCACTTAACAAGCACTTATGAGCCCCCACAACGTGCCTACAATTGTGCGCGTAAAGGTCTTCAAGACACAAAGTGATATGAAAATAAAACATTATTTCTTTTGCCAGTTTCTTTTAGAAAAACATTCTTCTATACATTTAGATCAGGGAATCTGAATTTGAATTGTTCCATTTGAAACCTGAGGAATATGTGTATGAAATACATGAAATTTATTATCGTGACCTTCTGTGAGCAAAAGGAAAACTTACCTACAAGATAGGCCGAAATATTATGGTGGTTAATCATGTAAAAGTTTTGTTCCTTGATCTAAAATTGCCGATAAAACAATCAGAACTTTGACTTTGGAACAAGTAAAGTACTATAACTTCAAGAAGTCATATTAATCTCCCTGAGTTAGGAAATGTCTAAAGCTTCTAAACTGGCCAGCGTAGGATAACATAGGGAAACATACTTTTGTTTTGTGACGGGCTGCCACATACATCTCAAGTGTGGTTTCTTCCTCCTTAAGTAACCTGAGGGTTTAACCACTGTCAGTTGTACATCAGAGATGAATTAAAAGCTCTGCCCATTCATAGTGTATCATCAAACAGAGAAATATAAATATGCATTGGTTCACAGATATTTTGAACTGGAAGAATTAGAGCCCATGAAAATGCATACATGAAGCTCTTCATAAAAGCTAAGACCAAATTTGATCAGAAGTCTGGGAATAGGAAGCTGACTCTGGAAGCCAGACAAATCTGAAATAAAAGAAAAAGGACTGGGCAGTTCGACACACAGGAAGCTTTTATTGGGTACTCCTCATATAGAAAGCCCTAAGAAGGTCTTTGAAGGTGCAGTTAAGTATGTTATTTGCCTCAGGCTGCTCAAAGTCAAGAGTGCAGAGGGAGCAAGTGAGCTTGCTGAGAACACAGATTTGCAGGACAGAATGGGGGTAAGGTGAGGAGTGTTGACAGGGAATGAAATCTTTCTGGAGAAAGTTCTGGAGTTCCTGTTAGAGCGAAGCAGGACATGGTTTGGGAAAAGAGAAAGAATCATGTTCCGTGCAATAGGGATGACTTGGGAAAAAGCTGAGAATTGCTTTTATCTTTGGATTGAAAGCATTTTCTCTTTACTGTTTTCTTAAATAAGGTGACTATGAAAGAAAATTTTTTCACCAGTTACTTAACTAATGGACAACATCGTCTTTGTCTGAAATCTAAGGGGAAAAAAACACATGTACCACAGTTACTAACATTTGTAAACTTTAATTTTACCCTTCATTTATAGCATGTCTCAGTGGAATCAAGTCCAACAATTAGAAATCAAATTTTTGGAGCAAGTAGATCAATTCTACGATGACAATTTTCCTATGGAAATTCGACATCTGTTGGCTCAGTGGATTGAAAATCAAGACTGGTAGGACCAAACATTATTGTATTTTCCCTAGAGGTTGATATACAAATGCCTTATGCTCTATCCATGTGGATTTATTCTATGATCTTTTTTTGACTGAGTAGATGCATATTTTTCATCAAGGATTTGGAAAGCTTCCTGTGAGGAAGAAAATCATCATCTTTTCTGGTTTCATCTGTTGTAGATGAAAATTTAATGCTTCTAGTGCGTTGGGTTTTTTGATAAGCCCAATCCCAGTAATTCCTAACTATTAAACAGCCAAGGAATAAAACTATTGTTTACATCAATTTTCAGCACAGACTCCATGTAAATAATTATTTTTTATTATGTTTTACAGTCATTCTTTAAAGCTCTGTTTACCTTGTACAGTTAATTCTTTTTTTTTTTTTTTTTTGCTTTGAATAGTTCTCTTTTTTATTGTGAGAAAATATACACGACATTTACCATTTTAACCATTTGTAGGTATACAATTTAGTGGCATTCGGTATACTTATGTGGCTGTACAACTATCACCACCATCCATCTCCAGAACTTTTTCATCTTCCCTAACTGAAACTCTGTCCTCATTAAACAACTACTCTTCATTCTCTGTAGCCCAGACTTATCAACCACCATTCTATTTTCTGTCTCTCTGAATATACTACTCTAGGTACTTTATGTAAGTGTAATTGCACAATATTTGTCCTTTTGTAACTGATGTATGTCATGTCACATGTTTTTTCAAGGTTCATTCATGTAGCATATATCAGAATTTCCTTCTCTTTTTAAGGCTGAATAACATTCTATTGTATATATAAGCCACATTTTGTTGGGTTATTCATCTGTCAACCAACATTTGAGCTGTTTCTACCTTTTGGCTATTGTGGCTAAAGCTGATGCAAACACTGATGTACAAATATCTGTTCAAATTCCTGCTTTCAATTCTTTTGGGTATCTACCCAGAAGCGGAATTGCTGTATGTAATTTATGCTTATGTTTTGAAAAATCTCCATCCTGTTTTGCATTTCCACCAGCAATGTGCAAGGGCCCCAGTTTCTCCACATCCCCACCAACACTTGTTATTTTGGGTTTTCAATAATAGCCATCCATTTAATAGGTATGAAATGGTAGCTCACATTTTGATTTGCATCTCCCAATGATTAGTGACGTTGAGTATACTTGGATGTGTAAAATTTAAGTTTTAAAAGCTTTTAAATGCTTATCACTGTGGAATACATTTATCTCTCTTTAAAACTAGTATGGTAAAGAAGTAGACATTTTACTGGACGTTGTTTCCTGCTGACTAATAACACTTTTGTTTTTTAGGGAGGCGGCTTCCAACAATGAAACCATGGCAACAATTCTTCTTCAAAACTTGTTAATACAACTGGATGAACAGTTAGGTCGCGTTTCCAAAGAGAAAAATCTGCTCTTGATACACAATCTAAAAAGAATTAGGAAAGTCCTCCAGGTGAGAATGCATTCTACTTTTTCAAAAATATTTGGATTTTTGTGTCTTAAATTCAGCTAAAAAAAAATATATGTACCCTTATAATATTATTTTCAATTCAGATTTAAGAGGGAAAATTTGAATTCTCTTACCATTTTACATTTTAACTACTGTGTGTTTTTCATGAAATTCTGAATCTGAAATACACTATAAGTGGGAGGGTGTGTGTGATTCGCATGTGACTATTTACTAGTTATGTTCAAATTTGACACTCCCCGGAACAAGGATTTGAAAGACAATAGGTTCATGGCTCTCCACCAGTCCTCCCTTGCCTTTCTCTCTTATGTAACAATTTAGTTAGTATTGTTCTCATTTATAGATAGAGGTATCGTGGTTGTATGTATCTTTTCAGATTTGGTTCAAATCTCACCTCCTCCAAAAGCATTCCTTGGTACTCTCTAGCCCCTATCTCTGGCTTTCTAGCCTCTAGCTCTCCAAAGGCTCACCCAGGCAAATATGTGTTTGTCTTCTCCCCAAAACTGTGGAGTTTAGTATTCACCTTTGAATTCCCAGTGCCCATCACAAGACTGGATATATAGCAGGTGTGTACTATTTGTTGATTAAAGGTATGAATGAATGAAGGGAGTGAAACAGGGATCTAAAGAATTAAAGGCAGGCTAATACTGAGTTAAACCCAGAGGTGCTAACACACATAACAAACTCTTAATGTGAACTGCTGTAATATTTCCTGAGTGTCTATACAATGTATTAAACAACATGAAAAATGCACGTGCCGTTTTTCAGTGAGGCATTCTTAAAATCCCAAAGTTCCGATGAATACGTTTTTAGAAAATTTCATCTAGGCTATAAGAAAAATGTGCTGGAAATTATTAACGCTTGTGGGAAGGGCATATACATTGTTTTTCCTATTGTTTGGATTGCACTGAGCCATTTTTGCCCTTGTAATGCCCTACAAATTTGCAAGACACTCGGCCTAGGTAGGAAAATAGCTTGTTGCCAACAAAACAGGATTTCCCACAGCATAAAGCAAACAATCTCTTACAGAGATAAGACATTTAACCTTGGCTTCATTAGCTTAGTGCTATAATCAATAAGCCTAAAACAGAGGTGGGCATACCATTACCCACAAGTCAAATGTGGTCACTGCTTCTTTGAGAGCCCATGACTAAGAATGGTTGTTACATTTTTAAGTGGTTGACAAAGAATTAAAAATATTAATAAGTTTGTGACATGGAAATTCTGTGAAATTCAAATTTTTATATTTTAGTGGAAATAGCCATGCTCATTCATTTACATATTGACTATGGCTGCTTTTGCACTGTAGTGGCACTGTTGAGGAGTTGTGACAGAGTGACCCCTAAAGCCTAAAATCAAAATGTGTATGTGTAGTGTGTGTGTATGTGTGTGTGTGTGTGTGTATCAATAACATTTATCTGGTCTAGAAGCAAAGGTCCTACAGGTCACTTTGCTAGAGGGACATAGATGGATAAAATGGTTGAGGCATGGTCTTTGGAAATTCTGAAATTTGAAATTCTCAAAATGTGACCTTGGGTAATCACTTAATCTTTCTGAATTCTCACATCTTTTCATGTAAATGAGTATGATCTTTATTTACTTTTTGGGATTGTAAAGAATATGGGAGTTTTTATTCTGGCAAAATAAATAGGCTTCCAATAAAGGATTTTTGTTGTTGGTAGAAAAAGAACAGGACTTTCTTAGTGTAAATGAAGAGTAAATTTAAAGGCCATCTTTTTTGGAGGGTGGAGGTAAGATTTTGAGGGAATTCAAGAACCTGCAATAACTCCCGTTCACATTTCGACTCAAGCACAAACTCTTCTCCGTATGTCACTGGCCTTCCAGCATCTTCTCTCTGTAGACCTTTCCCAACAAACTGCTCCAAGCTCCTCAACATTCCTGTCTCAGAAGAATACATCTTCTCCTTGTTCCTAAACACATCAAACTCACTCTTGAAAGACTCGGAGCCTTCGCTCATGACTGTACCATGGCCAGGAATGCAAAACCATCCCTCTTACTGCAGCCCAGTTTCCAGTGGTTCCTGGAGGACCTATGGATGTCCCAGTGCACCAAGGAAATCTTCACCACCTTAGCCCTTATTCTCATCCTTCATGGATTAAAGGTGGCAAGATAACCAGCATCTCTTCTGTGCTGGATGTGTCTAAGCAGGTCACAAGCTCTTTGAAGTAAAAGCCTGACCTCCTTTTTTGGCCTCTCTACTCCCTCTGGTGCCCACTGTGGTTCTACTACAAACTAGGAACTCAAAAAACAGTTGGGTTGGTTAAGATATTTTGAATTGACAAAACACTTGCTCTTTCCTTCCTTTTATAAGTGATACTTATTGGGCATTTGCATTAATTCAGAATACAGTAAAAAATAGCAATAAAGAACATTGTCAACTATGGTTGTAGACTTAAACCTGCATTTAATGTTTCTTTCTAATGTATCATATTCCCACTATGGTTTCTTTTTTGTTTTTGTTTTTGACAAATCTTTTTGAGAAAACAATATCCCCTGCTTCCCCAAGAATTAAAAGAGAAAAAAACCTCCTATCAAAACACTGTTGACACTGTGCTTATCTGGTTTGAACATTTTCATCCTCTGATATTTCAAATACAATCCGTTTAAACAATTATAGCAAAAAAGCACAAATGATACAGTTCCAGGAGAATTAAACAAGTATAAGGCAGATTTATTTTAGTTCTTTACAGAGCAGCTGAGGTCTCCAGTTTCCATATTTTAATTTCCTCTGAGATGGGAAGCAGTTGAACACTGATGTCCAGCTCACCTTAGCCCCTTTAGCAGGAAAGCAGTTTCAGGTCAAGGCCAGGAGCAAGGACTGCCCCAGGTTGCATCCTGACTCTGTGACTTACTTGCTGCATGGCCCAGGGCAAGAAGTTTACACTCTCTGGCCTCAGTTTCCTCAGTAGTGTGAGCAGAATCACACTGGTACGGACCCCAGGGGTGTTAGAAGCATTAAAAAAATTGTAAAGAATGTGGTAAGGTCAGGATTTGCTAAAAAACAAATACCTGCCTTAGATATTTAAAAAATGCTTCACCATGTTCTTGGGCCTTTTTTTTTTTTTTTTTAACTTTTTTTAGAGCAGTTTTGGGTTTACAGAAAAGTTGAGCAGAAAGTACATACTCCTTCTCTACCTGCCTCTCCCCATTTCCCCTATTATAACATCTTGGATTGGTGTATGGTGTAGTACACTTAGTACCTTTGATGAACCTATTGTGATATGTTACTATTAACTTACGGTCCGAGATTACATGAGGGTTTGCTTTTTATGTTGCCCAGTTCTATGGGTTTTGACAAATGCATAATGTCATGTATCCACCATTTCAGGTTTACTGTCCTAAAATCTCTGCTCTATTAGTTCATCCTTCCCTCCCTTATCCCAAACCCCTGGAAACCACTGATCTTTTTTTTGAGTTATTTATTTATTTATTTTGAGAGAAACAGAGACAGCATGAGCCTGGGAGGGGCAGAGAGAGAGAGAGAGAGAGAGAGAGAGAGAGAGAATCCCAAGCAGGCTCTGCACTGTCGGTACAGAGCCCGACACAGGGCTCAAATTCACGAAATCGTGAGATCATGACCTGAGCCAAAACTGAGAGTCAGACACTTAACCAACTGAGCCACCCAGGTGCCTCAACCACTGATCTTTTAAATTTTTCTCTAGTTATGCATTTTCCAGAATGTCATATAGTTGGAATCATACAGTATATAGACTCTTCAGATGGGCTTCTTTCACTTAGTAATGTGCTTTTAAGTTTCCTCCGTGTCTTTCTGTAGTTTGATAGCTCATTTCTTTTTATTGCTGAACGATATTCCCTTGTATGGATATACTATAGTTTGTTGATCCAATTTTGGCGATTACAAATAAAACTGATATTAACATTCATGTGCAAATTTTTGTGTGGGCATGAGTTCTCAACCCATTTGGGTAAATACCTAGAAGTTTGATTGCTGGATCTTTGTTCTTGGGCTGTCTCCCACAGGGCTCTTTTCCTTATTCATCTCCCTCACTGTGTCTTTTTCTGGGACATTTATTTCTCACAGTTCTGGAGGCAAGGAAGTTTAAGGGGCCAGCAGATTCGGTGTCTGATTCAGCTTCCTGGTTCAGAGGCTGCTGTCTTTTCCCTGGGCCTCACATGGTGCAAGTGAGGAGGGAACTCTCTGGCTTTTTGTAATGTTTATTCATTTATTTTAAGAGAGAGAGAGAGAGAGAGAGAGAGAGAGAGTGCAAGTAGGGGGAGAAGCACAAAGAGGGAGACAGAGAACCCCAAGCAGGTTCCTTGCTGTCAGCGCTGAGGCTGATGCTTAACCAACGGAACCACCCAGGCACGCCTAGGTTTTCTTTTATAAAGGTGCTAATTCTATCATGAGGGCTCTGCCCTTATGAACTAATCACCTCCCAAAGGCTCCACCTCCTAACAGCCTCACATTAGGGGTTAGGAATTCAACATATGAATTTGGGAAGACACAAATAATCTACAACAACCTTCTGAGGCACCTGGGTGACTCAGTCAGTTGAGCATCCAACCTCAGCTCAGGTCATGATCTCACAGTTTGTGAGTTTGAGCCCCGCATGGAGCTCTGTACTACCAGCTCAGAGCCTGGAGCCTGCTTCGGATTCTGTGTCTCCCTCTCTTTCTGCCCCTCCCCTGCTCACACTCTGTCTCTCTCTCCCTCTCAAAAATAAATAAACATGAAAAAAAAATGCAAGGTGCTTACAACAGTGTCTGACACATAGCTATAACAACCTTCCTCTCTGTCTCCTTCAGAATCACATTTTAAAAAATTTAAATGGTGCATATTTGTTATAAAAAATTGAAGTAGTACAGGAAAAAAATGCAAAGAAAATAGGAAATAATTCAAAATCCACTGCCTACATTTAACTATATTAATATTTGATGAGTGTCATTCCAGATGTCTATACATACATATGTGGATAAAAGGCCTGGTGGTTACCAGAATCTTG